TTTTCTTTGTCCGCAATTGATTTTTTAGTCAGTGTCGCATCATCTCGTGGTAAGCAATTTACAGTGAGAGAAAGTGCGCTTGTGCTAGAATTAGTCATGACGAGATGAGGTCGCTTGCAAGCTTCGAGCTGAGATTAAAATAAATGCGAGAACTTTTTGAAGTTCTACGCGCTGCCGCTATAAATGTGAACAATAATAATAATGAATGGTCATAAAGAGTGCGTGTTTCAGCAGATCGGCCACAGCGCGGTTACGGCTCAGTCTAGGCTATCTTATTACAAGCCGCGTAACCCTGACGATTGGGTCCAGCTTTGAAGGCCAGTAATGTCCACAGTGACAATGGGTGTAGTAAACAAGGATCAATGCGAAAAGCTGCGATAGCCAAAGGCGCTAAAATGGAGTGCTGGAACATTCTCGCTGTGTAGAATCGATTGTGTAGTCTGTAGTTTTTGTATTTTTATACTCTATCGTGGTCAGTCTCCCAGTCTCTTCATTGTTATCATTGCTCTTGGACGTACATATGGTTATTTTCGTGCGGATTTACTGTTTATACACCTTTCTCAGCTCTGAGGATTACATTTGTTCTTATATATTGTGTGTTTTAGTGTTGATCAAGATTCTAGTTTTATTTCATCTTGATAAGTTTCAGCTGCAACACACGTATTTTAGGTTACAGTGCGAAACACCGTTAACGCGAGTGCAAGATGGGGAAGAAAGCGTTGCATGTGAGGCTGTAAAAGTGGCCCGCCAAAAATGAAAAGAGATAGCAAAATAAGAATAGACAGATTTCCTAATTGGGTAGTTTGTAAGCGTTCTGGTGTAGTGTACACCCTCCTTCCTACCAACCACCTATCGGCGTATATATCATTACGTCCTCTTTTACTTTATATGCTACTCTCTAGTAACATCTCTAATATTCGGCACTTTTATGTGTCACGACGCGAAGGAAACAGGAGTTTGTCAATTTTTGGGCATAGACCTATTGGTATTAACTAAACGTTTGTTCATTTATTTCGCTTTCGAAGAAAATGCAACTCATCTGTCTTGGATAGAAGTCGAGATATTTGCAATTGACGGGGGTAAGGGTTGCCGGTAAAACTAGTGAGAAATCAGCTGCCAAAGTGTGATAACTTCATAAGTTTGAGATTCCCTGAAAACTGCAAAGTTAAATTTGTTTTAGCCTTTGATCAATCTTTTCAGTATAATCCACTCAGAACTATGTTTTTAAATGGACATAAAAGATGTTATGCCAAAAACAAAAACAAAAAATCAGAAAAAATCGCCAAACAAGCGGGAAGATATTATTGGTCTTCATTATTTCATTATTTTGACTAGCGCCTGATTTCATCACATTGATGTGTATCTTTTGCAACTTAAGAAAACAATTAGTGATCCCGCTTTCTGTATTTCGGGGTAAATAAATGTGGACGTAATTCATTTTTTATGGTAAAGAATTGATACGCTCTTTCACTGATGTGAGCTTCCTTTGTTATACGAACAGACAAGCTCGCAAGAAAGCCCCATCACCCATTTAAGCGCATATATCTATCGCCGCTTTCCGCACTGTTTTTTTTTCCCACCTCAATGAGAACCTGGCCGGCCTTCAATGCCGGAGACAACCATCCGGGTCTACACGGCCGGTAGTAAGATAGCCCAGGGCTCAGTCAGAGCGTTTGGTGTGAACATAGCTTTATGTGTACGAGAACCAGTTTACTCACTGTGTTACGGTAAAGTATCCGGTGCTGCAATCAGGCATCGTAAATACAGGGCACATCAGGGGGGTGGTGGGGCTAGGGCTGGGGCTAGAGACGGGGACACATTGGAACTCAGGGCATGGGCCATAGTTGCTGTAGACAGAAGAAAGTATAAAAGTTAGTACGGTCGAATCTGTTCTAAAATCACCTGTCTAAGACAATCACCTGTATCAATGATCTTTCCCTACACCCTCCCCCCTCTTGCGCTTTTTATACTATAATGATATTGTGCTAAAGGACCCTTGGAGAGACTCGACTGTGTTCTTTCTTGGCAAAAGATATAGTGTGACACTTCGAGCCAATATATTACAGATTCTTACTTCCAAGCAATAATAGGCCATTATTATAGTTGTAAATATTCAAAAAAAAAGAAAGAAATTCATTACGTGTTATTGATGTGAAAATGCAAAATTATTTTATAATCACATTGTTTTTTATGTGATCAAATATCAAAACTGTAAGTTGTGGAGGGCAAAGAGGATTTTTGTCACTAAAGTAAAACTTTCCTGTGATCTTGGCTTAATGCACGGATATAACATGAAACTACAAAAACAATAAGATTAGCGAAGAGACTGGACTCATAGAAGTTAACATCTGATTCGGAACCTGGCATGAATAACAAATACTGTAAAACTTTGGCATTACTTTGGGGGTACAAATATCGTCTCTGTCTCATTCTCTCTCTCTCTCTCTCTGTTTGTCTCTCTCTCTCTCTCTCTTTCTATCTTTCTCTCTCTCTCTCTCTCTCTCTCTCTCTTTCTCTTTCTCTCTGTGTGCCTGTCGGTCTGTCTGTCTCTGTCTGTCTGTCTGTCTGTCTGTCTGTCTGTCTCTGTCTCTGTCTGTCTGTCTGTCTGTCTGTCTGTCTGTCTGTCTGTCTGTCTGTCTCTCTCTCTCTCTCTCTCTCTCTCTCTCTCTCTCTCTCTCTCTCTCTCTCCCAAAGGACTTTTGATTCACAAAGCATCTCCGTCTTTCTGCTAGAACGCTGCATCACGATGGACTTGAAGTCAGTGTCGAAGCAACCTGCCTCTTCAAAGATCTAAACTGCGTCCATGAAGACAGACAGCATAATTAAGATTTACGCCCCGCTAACCTTTCCACCAAGACAGTTCCTGGATAGCATGTAGGCCTGTCAAAAAGGCACGGGAGGTTTGGCGTGGGTGGCAGAGTGGTGACTGGGGAAGACTGAAATGAACAGAAAACAGAAAACGGAATGAAATATACTCACACAGCAAAAGCAAAGTATAACTACAACAACAACAATAACAACAACAATAACAACAACAATAACAACAACAACAACAACAACAACAACAACAACAACAACAACAACAACAACAACGACATAAAGTTCATCATAGGCCTTTACACTAATAAAAAAATGTAAAGGCATGGAAACACACCAGTGCGCGCTTGTACCCACACTCACACGCGCGCAGCACACACACACACACACACACACACACACACACACACACACACACACACACATACACACACACACACAAACGTGCGTGCGCGCCCATATACACACACAAGCACGCGACTACTCATGCTTATGTATTATACATAATATGTTTACCTTAATAGATAAACACTTCACTACATTTAAAGTAACGGTCAAAGGTCGGAATTCAACTTACTGGGTTGGAGGTACAAGTCCAGTACTCGCAATCTTGGTAATCGTATCTGTGGATGGAGAAGCTGATGTTCAACACAACACATCAGAGAAACGACTGGAGCGATGAAACAAATTTACAGTATAACATACTTTGATATAGCTGCAAACACGAACTCACACACACACGCAAGCAGACAAGCACACACACACACACACACACACACACACACACACACACACACACACACACACACACACACACACACACATGTACAGTGTACATACACACACATACTGACATACACACGCATGCTTACACCCCCCCCCCTCACCAAATGGTAAAATAGTAAAAAAAAAAAAAAAAAAAAAAAAAAAAGAGAGCAAAAGAAACGCAAAATCCGGTTTACCTTTGCAATGGTGACCATCTTCTTTTTCCATTTTCTTTTTCAAAAGAGGAGATTTAAAAACAAACTGCTTTCTGGCATTCTGAAAGGATACGTAGGGCATCACGGAATACATTTTCAACTTCCGGTTAATGCATCAAAATGCTCAGTAGTGGTTATGGTCACCATTAGATCGGATAACCGTAGTAAATCTCCGGTACAACGAAGCTACTTGGTTGTTAGTAAAACGTTGCGGGGTCTGCCTCCATATCTCCTGGAAGGCCTCATCCAGTTCTTGTGTGATTCTCGGCCTTGGTTGTCTCCCCTTGATGCGTCGTTTAATTTCTTCCCAAAAATTCGTAATTGGGTTTAAATCCGTGTTGAGGGCAGAGTGAGGCTGCTGAGTGATCCTATGGTGTTGGAGGGAATCCTATGTAACACGGGAAGTGTGCGCACAAGCATTATTTTTCTGGAACCAGGAGTTAAAATTTTGTGTAGGTTGAGGGCGTGAGAAAGTCTGCTATGTAGCGGGCAGCATTAATACCTTGACCTCGACCTTGGCCTTGATTTTGGAAAATCATTGGTCCTACGTTGTGATTCCACTTGATTCCACCCCAGATCATGACGCGATGTCCTCCCCAGTGATTCCTCTCTACGACACAGTTGTCTCCATCTTGATAAGCTATGAGGCCCCTGTTTGTTGTACGAGGGCTGTCCCACGGAAAACCGGAAAAGGTCCGTAAAAGCAAAAATCTTTGTCCTATTATAATAAAACTGTAACACATCATACCTCAACATGTGCTTTATTTCTCAATGTAATCACCATCCCGTTGGACACATTTTCCCCATCGCTGGATCTGGGAGAAGATACCCTCCCTGAAGAATCTTTCGTCAAGGGATTTCAACCAATCGTTCACGGCTTCCACGAGGTCTTCGTCGTCGGTGAATCGCTGTCCAGAAATATGGCGTTTCATTGGTTCAAAAAGGTGATAATCTGACGGGGTCAAGTCAGGACTGTGAGGGGGGGTGTAGTAGAACTTCCTAGCCGAACCTTTGGAACCAGTCTTCCGTGACGTTTGCGGTGTGTGGCGTTGTGTTGCCATGCTGCAAAATGACCCCGCTGGTCTTTTTCGGCCCCAACCCATCAAGCAGAGACCTTTCAATAGTGCAGCTCATCAAACTCTATCCTATAGACAGTCGACTTTGAAATGTTTAGCGACTCGCAAATTTCGCGAATTTTTAGGCGCCTGTCTGTTTGAATAAGTTCGTTAACGCGACTCTTGTTGTCCTCAGTCTTGGCAGAAAAACAAGATCCTGGGTAAACTTTGTCATTGATATCGGAGTGCCCGGCTTTGAACTTACTACATCACTCATATACCTGTGACTTTGCCATTACTTTCTCCCCATAAACTGACTTTATTTCAGTGTGTATTTCTAGAGGTTTGAGACCTTCTGCGGTCAGAAACCGAATGACAGACTTCACTTCTACCCTTGACCAATTTTCCAAGGGGGTAGCCATCTTTTGAGAACTGCTGTGCTCGTTTGGTTTGTGCGATGCTCATGGTGCTCAATCGGAAAATTTCTAAATGATTGTTTTACAAGTGTGCGTTTACAGAATGTGAAAATATTGAATAGTTTTCAAATTACAGCCAAATTCCGGTTTTCCATGGAGGACAGGCATTTGTCCGAAAATGAGAACCGAGGACCCGTCTCTTAGACGGCTATTGACATGGTGCTGGGCGCAGTTGAGACGTTCTTGGTGATGGTGTGCGGTCAAGACTGGACCAAGGTAAGGTCGACGGCGTTTACAGTCTATCTGACGTAATCGGCTGTTCACTGTGTGTCGACTTCTGGCTCTTCTGTGGTTACCCCTTATCAAATCTGATGTTCTTGTAGCTGTGTGAGGTCGATTTGAACGATACATCCGCACAGTGTGTTTGCAAGCACGAGCACTGGCCACTCTGGGTCGACCTGACCTTTTTCGGTCCGCCGTAGAATTCGAGAGCGGAAAACGGCCCATCAGTCTGTGGATAGTCTAGATGTAAACACCAAAATGATTGGCTACCAAAATTGGTCTTTCTCCACCCTCCAAACAACCTATTGCTCTTTCTTGCTGTATGGCCCTAAAACGTGGCATTGTCGTTGTAAATGTAGGCGGAACGACCAAAACGATTTTTTAACACGCTTTTATAGCCCCGGGTTCAGGTGAATACTTTTCACCTTTTTTCACTTATTTAGATCGTGTTTTGGAGGCACCACGTGGCTTTTTCCATGCTTCAATTAAGGGGCAATAACTCAAGTTGCCGGTGACAAACAAGACGGGTGACTTTTGATTTCCAAAGCTATTACATACTATCGATTGTGTAAACTTCAGTCTTCTGCCATAGATGTTTTTTTAGTTATGGCCAAATTAGATTTTTGCGTTTCTTTTGTTCGCTAGTATATTCATATATTATATATTATATTTAAATACATGCATGGAATTTTTCTTTCTCCACACATCTCTGTTCATGACGTTTCTTGTCTCGTCAATAAACTTAGATGGTCTTACGATAAAGAAATGATGATATCAAGGGAATTTTTTTTCCTTCGTCCACGTTTGATTTTTCAGTCATTGTCACAGCATCTTGCGGTAAGCATGTCACAGTGCGAAAAAGTGCGCTTTTGTTAGATTAAC